CCGCAGCCGCGAAGGGGCCGCGCCGCGCAGGCCGGAGGCCGCGCCAATCAGAGCCCGCGGCGCCGCCGCCCGGCCCAATGAGCGGCGGCCGCCTGCGGACGCAGCGATCTGATTGGGCGGAGGGATGAGCCAATGAGGGCGTGCGCGAGCTGGACCCGCCAGCCCAAGCTCCAGCTCCACCCTCGCCTCCCTGAGGCGCCGCCCCCTCTCCTAGGGCCCCGCCCCCCTAGGTCACTAACTCTCCAAGGTAGAAGAGATGCCCAAAGATCTGGTCCAGCCTCTACTGGCTCTGGAGGGAGGGGCTTGGGTTCAGAGCTCATCTTTGCTACCTGTGGGGCCTTGGGAAAGTCCCCAAGCCTCAGGCTTCTTTCAAGCGCCAACTAACATCGCACCTCCAACAAGACGCCTTTGCACCCCTCTTTAATTCTGGCGCCTTCCTTCCATCCATTCGAGCCTGTCCATACGTTTGTCCGTAGCTGTCTATGTGCTGTCTGGGAGCTCCTCCAGGGCAGGAACTGCCTTCTGGCCTTCTGTGGATCCCCACTGCTTAGCGCACCGCACACAGTAGGCGCTTCATAAATGTTTATTGACTTCCCTGTAAAGTGAGCTTCCCGAGATCTCCAGCAGCCAGAGATATCTGCTCTGGTGCTCTCCTAGGCTGCTGTCCAGCTTCCGATTACAACCTCCAGGGAGAGGGAGGCCGCTGCTGCTCCCGGTAGCTTTTGTTCCACTTCTAGATAATTTGAGATAATCACTAGGATGTAGGACTACGATATTTCTAAAGATCTTCGATCTCACCAATGTGGGCACTGTCCAGGAGCATGCAGATGCAAGCCAGGCATGCCTGCCCATCCTGCCACAGAGGCAGTATCCTTCTGGGTAGGGGTAGGGTTGGGATAGGAAAAGGAATATTTCTCCAGATCCCTTAATGTTGCCCGCACACGAGTGAATCATTCCATCTGTTATCCCATGATCCCTTGTAAAATGGAGATGATACCAGCACCTACCCCGAAGGGTTGTTGTGAGGATCAAACGAGCTATGTGTGAAACACTTTGCAAATCGTAAAATGTTATACAGATTCTAGCTATTATAATCTCACCAAGTGAGCATCTTTTCACTCCATACGTGTTTCTATCGGCATCCTTCAAACCGGAGGCATCAGATACCCTGCCTGCCAGTCACACGAGAGCCCCAACAACGGCAAGTGCAGCCTGATCCAGATTAGAATGGGAACATTAAAATTATAAAGGGAAATATTGAACAAAATAAACAAAAGTACACTGAAACACCGATCGTGTTGACATGTGGTTTTCTACATCAGTATGCAGCCCACAGGGACTCTTACAATCAGTGGCCCCAGTTTCTATCTGAATTTGACCACTGCCTTAGATTACATTTCGGTCAGTGGGTCAAGTACGTCTCTCATGATTCTTCCTTAGTAATGGACTGACTCCTCACAACCACCTTGCCATCACCCTTTGGATGGCGATCAACTTTAGACTTCAGAAACTGGTAGCCATTCCTACAGCATCACTGGAAGAGGGTTTTTTCTGTTATTTATGTCAGTTCCTCCTGGTTCTTGCGCCCTGGAGTCAAGTAGAACAAATCTAATCGGTGTCTACACAACAGCCCTTCAAATAAGGGGAGATGGCCTTCATGATCTCCCTAAGTCTCTTCTCCAGACTAGACATTCCTCCTTCCTTTGACTGATCCACACGGGACGTGGTGCTCGGTAGCCCTGCTGTCAGAGGCCACCTTCTCTAGATGGTCTCCAGAATGTCCGTGTCCTTCCTAAAATGTGGCACCCAGAACTGAGCACAATACTCTAGAGTTGGTCTCAGTAGAGCAGGGCTGGGGAACCTGCAGCCTGGAGGCCATATATGGCCTTCGAGGTCCTCGGGTATGGCCCTTTGACCAAGTTTTCCAGAACAAATGCTTTTATGAGGGGGATTTTTTTTCTGTGGAATTTGGATTCAGTCAAAGGGATGAACTTGAGGACCTAGAGGGCCACATGTGGCCTCCAGGCTGAAGGTTCCCCACTCCTGCACTAGAGTGATTGATTGATCAATCCAGCAATAAACATTTATTAAGCTCCTGCTATGAGCCAAGCACACTCTTGCTTCCCTCGTTGGATGAAATTAAATAGAATGTAAGCTCCTTAGGGACAGAGATGCTTAGCCCAGCATAGGCATCTGGAAGAGCCCTTAATGGCTACCAGATCCAGCCCCTTCACGTTACAGAAGAGCAGACAGGTTAAGTGACTCACCTAGGGTCACACAGCTAACGCTCACCTGAGGGAGGAGATGGCTTCAGGTATTTTTGACTCTGAAGCCAACTCTCTGGGCATTGCAGTCCCTGACTGATGCCCTTCTTAATGCAGACTATGTCTTCTGGCCACCCTGTCCTGTTGATGGCTTGTTTCCCATTCTCAGCTCACTAAAACACCCAGACTTCTCTTAGATGATTCACTTCTTGCTACCTGTCCTCCAACGGGTACTTGTTTGACACCAGTTCTTAGATTTTACATTTCCCTCTATTACAGTTCATCTTAGTCAATTCAGTCCATCATTCAAGCCTGTGGAGATCCTGAGCATGCCCTTTCTTAGCTGCCCTTTCTTGCTTTCTCTCACTTGCAAAACTGATAAATGTGTTATCTGTGCCTTCATCCAGGTCAGTGATTTTTAAAAGTTCACAGATCCCTGTGGCACTCCACTGGAGACCTCCTTCCAAGCTGACACTGGACTGACCATTAAGGGTTCTTCTTTGGGCTTCAGCAGTCCTAGACCACCAGACGGTTCCAGCTCCACCCAACTGTGCTATGCTGTGGTTGCCAACTTCTCATCTATCTTGTCCACAAAGTATCTTAAGAAACTGTATCAAATGTTTTGCGAAAATCCAGACAACTTGAAACAAAGTCTTCCCCTGATCTGTTGGACTGGTGACCCTGTCATAAAAGAAAATGGGTAAGTCTGGCCTGCCTGGCATGCACTTTGTAATCACTGCTTCCTTTTCTAGACTTCATCAGTCATCTCTTCAATGATTTTGTCAGGAATGGGTGCCATGCTCACCAGTCTCCGGTTTGGAGACTACTTCTTTGAAAATGTGGGTGCCATTTGTCTATTTCCAGTCCGGCTGGACCTCTCCCTTCTGAACAGTCTATCAAAGGTCACTCAGCAGTCTCATCGGCCGAATGTGTGGGTCCTCTGGGCTGAGGTGGAGGCGTACTGAGGGCAGCTATATGCTGTCACTAGGGTCCTTTATCTGAGAGCTTAGCCCACCCCTCATTCCTCTCGGAAGCAGAGGGGATGGAATTGCAACCGAGTGCAGGCCTCCCCTGCCTCAGCACATTCCCTGGGTCACTAGCCCCAAGCCAGAGCAGTATTAATAGCCCCTGCTGCATCCAGCTGGCTCTGCAGTCATCCCTAGGATTAGCGCCCAGGCTCTGGCTTTCCACACCTTCCCAGACATTTGGGCCCCTGCTGCTCCAGCAAAAAAAACCAAAACCCACCCAAAGCATTTCCGTATGCCTCGATTTCTCTGTCCAAGAAATGGGTTGATGGGTTGTTTCCTCACACACACTTCCAGCTCGGATCTGTGAAGGAAGGGGGATTAAGCCTCGCCTAGCCAAACTGAGAGAGCCCCAACCCCAGGGCTTCCTTGGACCAATGATCTCAAAACACTTTTGAGGGCACTGGACCCCCAAACATTTTCGAAGTGTTTCTGGGCTTGGAAAGGGGGCCATCAGGGGAGAATCAGCCTCCCAGTTTTGTCCTTTCCCCTCCACCCCTCGCCTGCCTTGGACCCAGACATCCTCGCTGCCTCCCTTCCCCTCCTTCTGTTGGCCCCTCCCTCATTTCCAAATTTAGCGGGAATCCGATCCGAGCCCCGAGAGGTATTTATGGGGGCTGCTGTCGAGGGCCCCGGGGGCCCGGCGGAGCCAAGGCAGAGCCACAGGACGTGGGCATGATGATGGTGCTGCAGCCCGAGGGCCTGGGCGAGGGCCAGGGTCCCTATGGGGGCCATGAGTACATGGAACAGGAGGAGGACTGGGACCGAGACCTGCTCCTGGACCCCGCCTGGGAGAAGCAACAGCGGAAGGTGAGGGGCGCGGGCGCAGGGGCTGGGATCCGGGCCTCGGGGGTTCTTGCGAGAGAGAATGGGGGGCCCGGGAGCGGGGCCAGGACAGCGTTCAGGTAACGGGGACCATCCCTCCCCTCTGAAGGGCATTCACAAGCCTGCCTCTGAGCAGTGGGACAGGACTGCCTACCTTCCCCTTTTACGGGCAGGCGCCAGGCTTTACTTTTCCGGGAGTTAGTTCTCCATGACCTGTAGAGGAACCTAATTTGGGGGGGGGGCTAAGGAGGGGGAGGGCTAGAGCAGTTGGAGGATGCCCCCTCCCTCCAAGAGGTTAAATCTATCCCTCTGCCCCACCCTTGAAGGTCTCTGACTCGGCAATCACGTCCCATCCCCAGCCTGGAATGGGGTGGGGGGCTGCCATGGAGAAGAGAAAGAACTCAGAGCTCGGCTCAAGAACCACGCCCCAACCCCTGGTGACCCGCCAGACCTTCTCCCAGTCCCACGCAGAGCCCCCACCGCTATTACACCAGAGCCTTCTGCTTATCTCCTGGCCAGGGCCTGGGGTGGCCCAGAGATTAGAGGAAGAGAGGAGGAGGCAGCACCTTAGAACACTGGATGTGGAATGGCAGAGCTGGGAGGGTCCTTAGGGACAGACCACTTAGTCCAAACCCCTCATTCTACAGATGGGGAAACTGAGGTTCAGAGAGACGTGCTTTAGGTCACGGGTCTAGCCAGTGGCAGAGCCGGAACTAGAACTCAGATTGCCTTGACTCAGAGCCGCACCCTCTTTCCAGCACCAACCTTGCCCCAATCCAGGGCCCCCAGCTTTCAGAGCTCAGGGTTCCCTATCCAGGGCTGGGGAGGGGAGGCATCAGGTCTCCCAGAAGCAGAGGCTGAGGGGGAGGGGATGCCCGGGTCTCCTTACAGAGTAACCTGATCCTCTGGCCAGATGGACACTTTCTGCTGAGGCAGCGACTTGGGGGAGCCTAAAGAAGGGGTGTAGCCATCACTGCTGAATCCTGACCTTTTAGGGTAGGTAGGAAGGTGGCCCCAAGCCCACCCTCGGGCCAAACCTGTTTCCAAAACAGCCTGAAGTTTAGAGGCGGGGATTCCCCTGCTCCATGACCAGGCTAGGGCTTTCACTCCTAAAGAAGCCCAAGGTGGTTCTGGGGCGTGGGCCAAAGCTGGCTGGGGGATGAACCGGGGGCACTGAGCCCGTTGCTCTGCACAGAGGACAGGGTCTGCCCCCGTGAATGTTCGTCCGTGGACAGCCTTCCTCCCTTACTCATTCCTGTCTCTGGGGGCTCCCCCTCAAAGGCTCTTCAGACCTGCCTAGGCTCTGTACATCATTCCACTCATGTCCCCCAGCCAATTCAGCGTCTCCCTATTTGATCCTCCCCAAGTCCAAAGGCCAGCAGATTCCTCCCCGGTCCCTCTAATCCCTGTAAGTCAGGATGGGCACACCCTTCCCCAATCCAGCTTAGTTCTAATCTTCTGCCCACTTCTGCCCTCCCTGGCTGGTGAGCCCATCTCTGACGAACAAACTCCCGTCTCTTCATCAAACTCTGTGCCTCCTGGTGCTCACAGTAACCCAGCTTTCTCCTGAGGGCCTCTGTGCCCCCTGCCCCCTCTTCCCAAGGCCTGCTATGCCTTCTCTCACCCCCCCCTCCCCGACACACAGTCCAGGAGGAGGAAGTGTCAGGAGCCACCCCCTCACCACTGCTTTCTGACCCATGTTCTTCCCGATCACTCTCTCTTCTCCCCAATACGTTCATTGTCTGGCTCAGTCTTCTCTACCCCAAACCTAGCCCTAGAAAAGCCTGGCCTTGCAGTTCCTTGGCCCCCTCCACTCCCATGCCCTCTGCCTTCAGAGCTACTCCCCCCAGCTCCATGCCCCTGCTTGCCAGAATCTGCCCTAGATACTGAGACTCCTTGTTTTGGGGTCCAGAGGCTAACGGGCCGTTTACCAATAAGAAAAGCAGCTCTGGGCCAGTGGGAGGAGCCTTCCCTTGCCAATCACCCAACCCTTTGGGTCTTCAGGCCAGCTCTTAGCACCTCCTACACCAAGCAGGCGATGCTTGATCGATTAGCTGGCACGCTATGTTCTACTCTGCAGTTTCTTGCACCCTTGTCCGAGCCACTCATCAAACCTTGTCAGCCTCCAGCCCAGTACTGCTGCCTCCTCCACGATTACTCACAGGCAGCCGAACAGAAGCGGAGAAAGATTTCGCTGGGTCCATCCTCCCCAGTCTTGCACGGACCCTCACTGCTGCAAGGCAATCCTTTGGTTCCTCCCTAAGTGATTCTGCCTCCTGCTCTCCACTGCAGCTAAGCAAATCCTCTTTCCTCAAGCCTCCTACACCTCCCTTCAGCTGAGGATCTGCCTCGGATTTTACTGAGAAAAGGGGATTTTTTTTTTTACCAGAACTCTCTCTTTTCCCCTTCTGTACACCCTCAATACCATCCCCTATTCTCCCCTGCTTTATGCCAGCTTCTGACTGTGAGATGAATTTTCTCCTTACCATAGCCAGCTCCTTTACATGTGCCCTGCTGCATGCCCTTCCATCTTCTTTGGCTGCCTCAATCGTCCTCTCTCTAATCTTCAGTCTCTTCCAGACTGTTTGCAAACACCACCAAATCTCCCTCATTCTTAAAAAACCGTCACAAGAATCTACCATTACCTCAAGCTATAGGACTGTATCTCCCCTCTCTTTCTCAGCCAAACTCCTTGGAAAAAAAAAAGTCCCCCATTCACTGCTTCCACGTCCTTTCCCCTCACTCCTCAACCCTTTGCAACAGGGCTTCTGACGTCATCACCCAAATGACTCTGCTCTCTCTAAAGTCACCAATGATCTCTTAATCACCTCATCATCTGCCTGCAGAGGACTCTACGGCAGTGTTGAGTAGAGGCTCATTTACTGGGCTAAGAAAGATCTGGGTTCAGATCCTACCTCACACACTTACTAGCTGCATGACCCCCAGATAAATCCCTAATCTCTCTGTGCCTTCTTTTCACCTGTAAAATGAAGGGGTTGAACTCAGTGGCCTATAAGGGCCCTTCTAGCTCTAGGGGCAGCTAGGTGCAGTGGATAGAGCTCTGGCCCTGGAGTTGGGAAGACTCATCTTCCTGTGTTCAAATTTGATCTCAGACATTACTAGCTGTGTGACCCTGGACAAGTCATTTAACCCTCTTTGTCTCAGTTTCTTCATCTGTAAAATGAGCTGGAGAAGGAAATGGCAAACCACTCTACCAAGAAAACCCCAAATGGGGTCATGAAGAGTCAGACACGACTGAAAAATGACTGAACAATAACAAAAGCTCCATATCTGTGATTCTGTAACTCTCAGATTCCTATCTCCAGCTTTAACCCCTCTCTGGTATCACTCACTGCCTTCTGGACATCTCCAGCTAGTTGTCCTATCGATTTCTCGAAGTCAGCATTTTAAAACTATAACTCAACATCTTGACTCCCAAACCCACCCCTCCTCTGAGCTTGTCTACTTATAGTGAGGGCAGATTGCCGGGTCCACAGCTGAGGGGACATCCTCAGTTGCCACGGCCCCTCCCCTCAGCTACCTAAGCAGTTGCCCAATCTTGGCCTCTCTACCCCTACAGCATCTCTGGTGTCCACCCTGTGCTTGCTACTCGCACTATCCACCCACCCCCTGCCCAGGTCACCTCTCCTGGACCATTTCAATGGCCTCCCCTTTGGTCTCCCGTCTGAATGGCCGCCACATTGATTTCCTTAAAATCTAGTCTTATCCCCCGCTGCATAAAGGCCAGTGGCTCCATTGCTTCCAGAGCCCCATCTGACTTCCTCAGTGTGGCCATTAAAAGTCGACCACAACCTTCCCTTCTAGCCGTATTCTTGGTTTTTTTTTTGCTTTTTGTTTTTTTTTGGTGAGGCAATCAAGGTTAAGTGACTTGCCCAGGGTCACACAGCTAATAAGTGTCAGAGGTTACATTTGAACTCAGGTCCTCCTGACTCCAAAGCCAGAGTTTTAGCCACTTCACCACCTAGCTGCCTCCCTTCCCCAGCCCTATTCTTTGAGGACTGTCCTGCGATGGGCTTCTCGGTCCTCACCTACAATGCTCCATTTCTCATCTCCATGCCTTTGCACTGGCTGTGCCTGATGCCAAGAATGCTCTTCCTCCTCACTCCTTCCTTTAGAATCCCTGGTTTCCCTTCAAGCCTCAGCCCGAGCCCCACTTTCAACATGAAGACCCTCCTGGGCTTTCCTGCTGCTAGTGCCTTGTGCTCCCCAAGCAGCTTTATAGCGGCTTGTTTATCTGTGTACGTGCTTTCATTTCTTCTCTCTTCTTACTGTTTCCTCTCCTAGAGCACAGACACTGAGTCTGTCTTTCTTGCAGCCCCAGAAGCCAGCACAGTGCTGGTGCATACATAGTGAGGGTTTTATATATGCTGGTTGATTGGCTTAGAGTCCCAGGTTGGCCACTCCTGAGATCAGGGATGTCAAACGGAGGGCCAGAGAGGATCACTGGCCTGCCACAGATCACCAGGTGCTAAGTGGGAGAGCCAGAACAGAAATCCAGGTCCTCTGCTGATGTGGGAGTGGAGGCAATGCCTTTCCCATCCTGAACCTCAGTTTCCCCATCTGTCCAATGGGTGCTAGCACTCCCACTAACTGCTTCTGAGGGCTGTCGTAAGGCAAGGGAGCCTGGTGTACTGCACTGCCTGCCAGTGAAAGGGTCCAGTTGCTTCCCTCTGCCCTCTTCCCTCTGTTCCCAGACCTTCACAGCCTGGTGTAACTCTCACCTGCGTAAAGCTGGGACCCAGATTGAGAACATTGAAGAGGATTTCCGCAATGGCCTTAAACTCATGCTGCTCCTGGAGGTCATATCTGGTGAGGGGGGCCTGGGGGGGCCTGATGTTCTCAAAGATCCTCAAGGCAGAGGGGCTGAGGCTGGGCTCAAGGGATGGCCGGAGGTGGAGGGGGGGAGATGGGGAGATGGGGCGTGGACAAGTGGGAGCCATATGTGGTACTGGGGATGGTGGGGCCAGGGCTGCCCTGCTCCTTGGGGGCTGAAGAGTCAGGGGTCCACTGGAGGGGTGGGGATAGGTGGATATGAAGCCCTGGGCATCAGCTCTAGCTGAAGACTCCTCCCAACCCCCCCCCCCCCCCCCCCCCCCCCCCCCCCCGAGCCAGAAGGGAAGCAGGTCCTACCTCTGTGGTTTCAATTATACTGCCCTGGCTGACCTCTTCTATCCATGTAGTGGAGATGACTGGCCTGCCTCTGTCATATACTGGTAGAGTGACCTTGAACAAGTCCCAGGAACGTCCCAGTGCCCCCAAGCATCCCCTAAAACTCTCCATTACAGAATAGTCACTAATCTGCATGAGTAAGGGGAATTTCCACACTGGGAGCTCCCCACAGTGAGCAGCACATCATAGCTCTGTGATTTCTGAATTCCTACCCAACAATACAAAAGAAAAGGGTAATTTTCTTTTTTTTCCCTCCACTTGGTCATTTTCACATTTGTCTCATGGTTATTTATGCAATATCTATTTTAAAAGTTTATGTTATTTTATTCAATTAAAGAATATCGACCTTCTCTCTCTCCTACCTCTCTCCCCACTCCCTATTAAAAAGAAAGAAAAAACAACCCTTGTAACAAACACACACATCAAACAAAACGATCTCTTGCATTGTTGTTGAGTTGTGTCTGACTTCCTGACCCCACTGGGGGTTTTCTTGGCAGAGATCCTGGAGCGGTTTGCCATTTCCTTCTCCAGCACATTTGACAGATAAAGAAAGTGAGGCCAATGGGGTTAAGTGACTTGCTCAGGGTCACACAGCTAGAAAGTGTCTGGCACCGAATTTGAACTCAGATCTTCCTGACTCCAGGCCCTGCACTCTATCCACTGCACCGCCAACTGCCTTAGCTTTATGCATTGTCCATGTCCAAAAAATGTATGCCTCTACCTGCACTTTGAGTCCATTTGCTGTCTTTCTAAAGGCAGGCAGCATGTTATATCATGAGTCCTTTAGAACTGTGGTGATCATTGTGTTGATCAGAGTGCTTGAGTCTTTCAAAATTGATTATCTTTACGATATATTGTTACGCCTAATTATTCTCATCATTCTGTTCACTCTCCTCTGCATCAGTTCATACATATCTTTCTAGGTTTCTCTGAAATGATCCCCCTTGTCATTTCGTACAGCACAACAGTATCTGTCACTTTCATATACCACAACTTGTTCAGCCATTCCCCAATTGATGGGCATCCCCTGTTTCCAATTCTTTACCACCACAAAAAGAGCTGCTATAAACATTGTTGTACGGGTGGGTCTTCTTTCTCTGATCTTTTGCAAGCATAGGCTTAGCAGTGGATCCCCGGGTCAAAGGGGATGCAGTTTAATAGCTTTGGGGCCATAGTTCCAAACTGCTCTCCAGAATGGCAGGATAAGTTCACAACTTCACCAACGATGCATTCAAGTACCTGTTTTCCCATAACTCCTCCAGCATTTATTTTCCTTTTTTGGTCAACTTTGACAACTTTGAGGAATGTGGGGTGATATGATAGAGTTGCTTTAATTTGTGTTTTTAAAATTATCAGTGATTTAGAGCTTTTTTTTTCATATGGCTATTGATAGCTTGGATTTCTCCTCTGAAAATCTCCTGTTCATATCCTTTGATCATTTATCAGTTTGGGAATGGCATTTTTTTCTTATATATTTGAATCAGTTTCCTATCTTAGAAATGAGATACTTACTGGAGAAAGTTGATGCACATTTTTTTTTCCAAGTTACCTGCTTCTCTTCTGCTTTCAGATGAATTGGTTTTGTTTGCACAAAAACATCTAAAGTTTATGTCATCAAAATTATTTTAATCTTCTTTGATTCTCTCTATCCTTTTGGTCATGAATGCTTCCCCTACCCATAAATGTGAACTATAATTTTTCCCTACTCTTCTAATTTGTTTATGATGTCACACTTTATATATCTAAGTTATGGACTCATTTACAGCTTATCTTGGTATATGGTGTGAGATGTTAGTCTATCATAGGTTGCCCAAGTGGGCAATACCACCCCTGGGAGAGGGCTGGAACAATCGAGGG